TTGTTCATTGTTATTGTAATTCAGCATTTCACCTTTTTTGTTCTTGAGCTAGTCGCAAGAACAGGATTTTCTCTCATCTGTGCATACTTTTCAATGTTACAAACTTCATGATGTAATTTTCTCCAACAGTAGAAGCAACTCAGTCTCAACAGGAAACTACCAGGCATGGTGTATGGCGTTGCTCCAATTGTACTCATAATAATGATGAGGGCATGTCTGCGTGTGATGTTTGTGGGGTTCTTGGTAACTCTTTGGTTAATAAGCAAAACGAGAAAGAGAAGAGAACAAGTGCGTCAGTTTTTTACCTAACGACTTACTAATGATTCGATATTTCCTTTTAATTGAAGTTGAATTTTTTTTTTTTTCCCTTGTGCACCTTGTTGTCCTTGGGAATGAATTGCTGATTTGCATCCCAAAACCATTTCTAGCTGAATGGTTTGTTGTTTATTCTAACCTCACATTGATAATTGATACACAGCTCCATTCGAGTTTGACATTCCACCTCCAGATGATGTGGTTTCTAGTGGACTATACTTTCCTCCAGAACGGGTTCAGAAGGAATCCTATCATGGTTGCAACTTGAAATGTCTTTAAGTCTATTCTTAAAAATATCTTGCTATTTTGCTAATGAGCTTCCATTGCAGCTAACTTTCTCGACTCCGGTTCTTCAAAAGTTTCCTCAACTATAACTGGGAAGAAGGGGGAGAGTTCCTGTACAATCAAGTGCTAACAGTTCAGAAAATTCACAAGAAGCTGGCCTGGATAAAAGTGGTAATTCAAACAATGCAATAGTGAATACAAGATCAAGATCTAGAACTTCAGATAGGTTTTCTGCATCTATGGCTCAAGCCCCTATTCACGCCCATATCATATGTGATGTGAAACTGTCTTCATAAGGTCAAGTGTCCACTTGTGGTAAATTGGAGGCTGGAGCTGGTCGAAGTGGGTTAAAGGTATTCAATTATATCTGTAATTACAGGCTATGTTGTTTGAAGTGAGTTTCACCAGGATGCCTTGTTATCTCTTTTCAAGTGATATTACCCATCCAAAAGATGGTTATGCACTTGGTTACTCAATTATGAAGAAAGCACTGGATGGTATGTTTCTGCATCCATCAAAATAATATGGAACATTGATGCAAATTTGAATGCCAATAAAATTGCGCTCTAGCTTGGGTAGAAAAGAGATGAATCATAAATTTGATGTGTTAAATTTGAGGTTTTAATCATACCGTCTGCAAATATAGCAACAGTACGTTCATTAGAGTATGGCTCCCAGGATTGTGAAATTGCTAGGGCAGGTGACAATGTAGCTGTGAGTTTGCAAGGGATTGATGGAAATAATGTGATGGCTGGGGGTGTTCAATGTCACCCTGAATTCCTAGTTTCTGTAGCAAAACATTTGGGGTTGAAGGTGCAACCACCAATCCCCAATTTTAATCGGCTCTCAGGTAGGCTCTTGGTGTGCTTGTCTTGTTGTTTCTTTTGAGATGTCTTACTCCTAAGCAGAATGCAGTTATTGAGATCAGTCAGGATGACAACAATCCTCGTTACAACTGATTACCTGGTGACAATGAAATTTGGTTTGAACTCAGTCCGTTCTCTAATTTCATATGGTTCTAAATGCTCTGGTTTATGTGGAAGAGTTTCCGAGATGCAAAAGCTCTTCGAAAGGTTTCTCTAACATCACTTGGAAGAACAGTTTGCCTTAGGTGTTGCGACCACAACTATCGAGGAGCAGCTGTAGTTTTGTGATTCTGCTTAGCCTTTGCATCGAATGTTCAACAATTACACATCCGATCTTGGTTGGCATTTGGCAATGATTTCCTTACCACCTCTCAATAGTCATATAACAACGATAGCCTTCCTAGAATAACAACATCTGAGAGAATTCTTTTAACCTGCTGACTTAGACTCTGCATCATAGAACGCTTGAGCCTTCCGTTTATTTATTAATTTTTCGAACACTAGAGCTTCTTTTTGGCCAGATAGAACGCTTGTACCTTAATATGTACAATTTGGGTGCTAGAGATGTAGCATGTAAAGTTTCCTTAATCCTTTATAAGAGAACATGTAAAATTCTTCCCAATCAGGGCATGTTTTATTTATAAGGTATATAATTAAATTCAATTATTGTTTAGAAATCAACAGAGAAATGTGATCTACAAAAATGACAGAGGCTCAATCTTTTCTTACCTAATAGTCTCTCTCTTTTTTTTTTTTTTTAACAGTTAATATGTCTTCTAATCAATTTGTGTGCATATCAAAACTAATCATTTTCTAATTCAAGCGAAAGCAATTATCCATGTTGAAATTAGAGAATTCATGCAATATTATTTTTTCGTTAGCCTCTTTCAAAAGATGAACATTGTTAATAAGATGAAAAACAAACTCTCTTGCTAATTAAATTATAATTTTTTAGGTGTTATATAATAGTTTATACAAGATGATTAATTCCATGTGGAAAGAAGTCTAAAGAAGTGTAATCAATGACCTTTTGGTTCGAATAGAAAAAGTTTAGTTTTTTTTAATTAAGTTTTCGAGTTTGAATATTGTGAATGGAGAAATCAATATTGTGAGAATTTTTTCTTATAGGATTTAATCTGATTAAACTTTGAATTGATTAAAATTTAATGTGACTTTTGAATATTAGAATATTAGTACCAAAATAGAAATGTAGAGAAGTGTATCACAAGCGTTTCCTAAATTTATTTATATATGAATAAATTGCATGCAAGTTTTTCCAAAAAACAAAATCACTTACAATGGCATATTTATAAAGATGGTTAGTACTTAATACGGAGAGGGTCTTTAAAGTCCACTCTTCATCCAATCTTGCCTACACAACAATGATATTGAATTATACAATAATTTTTCAAAAATAAGAGTATATATAACTTTTATAGAAATCTTATTTTATAATTTGAATTGTTTTAAATTATAAAATAAAAATTATTAATTAAAAAATTTTTCTATTATCAAGGGAGTCAACTTCTCTCTAATGATTAATATAATATAATTTGATAGAATTTAGAGTGCAATCACACAATTTTGGGCTGTTATTTATGCTTTTTTTAAAAAAAATTATGTTAATTAAGCTTTTGACTTTTGTATTGAACGTTTTTTGAAAAGTTGGAAAAATTCCGAAGGTTTGACCCAGTGTGAAA